GCACACAAACACACACATATATGAACACCTCTAATCTAGCAATAGAAGGTCTGTAAAAATCAAGAAGGCTATCTATATGTGGAGCTTGTGAGTGGACCAATTTTAAACTGGGTGCGTGTGAATCTGCACCAGAAAAAAATCCTTGTAAGAATTTTTCAAAATGCTTCTAATGTGAATGTTGCCACTGAATCCCATCTCTAGCCCACTGACACTGCAGGAAGGTTGCTAGCTAAGGTGAAAGGATTGGTCGTCTTGATTGAAAACTCTGTATGTCCCCATTCCAGTATATAAAGCAGCTTTATAGGTGATATTTTATATGCTCAAAAGTCAGAGAAATATGTATTTCTTTAAATAAAACCCTTCAAGTGTGTGGTGTTGCCAAATCAAGAAATTGATACTAGAGGTTTATGTGCATAACCCGTTCAATTTTAATACGATGCGGCAGCAGTCTAAAATAGTGGATCTGAATGGGAGCTGAAATTGCTGGTCAAATGATAATTCAGAGTAACTTGTATTTTCGGTGTTCAGAATGCTTGATAAGGAGAGTACTATACAACAGAGATCTTTGTTCGTGCACTTAACACTGTAAAATTTGCTTTTTGAAGGCGGGGAGTATTCATAGTGCTTAAACTATATGTGTGTTTGTCTTCACAAAGTCAGTGTTGCCTCTTTTCATGCTTAGGAAAAGGGAAGGTGAACTCAACACAGTTAACTTGTAGCCTTCGCGTGTGTATAATTAGGACCTTTTATCTTACAATAATTGCATCTCAAAAGTAGCACTATGTTCTGTGATTTTTTTCATTTGTATGTTTTTATGGTGAGTGAAAAAGGCACCTTGGTCTTTATCCACTGCTGTTTAGTTTCAGGTTTCCAAACCTGCAACACACAGGCAAATCAGACCTTCTTGACATTTCAGTATGTGTTAACCTGAAACAGAGCATCCTGACTCCCGCATATTGCTAAAATCCTGTGTTTGCAATACATAGATTAAAACTTGGGTGGAAGATGATGTACTGTGTGTGCACAACAGGCAAGTTTCCAATTTTTTTTTTTTTTTTTTTTATTTCAGAACTGAATTCCTTTCAGGAGGACAAATGGCTGTCCTACATCTTTTCCCATAGTGACTGTTCAGCTGTGAATTGCATTACTGCACTAAAATTTCTGTAATGGGATACTTCATACCACTAGTGATTTGCAAGAAGGAAATAAACTTGCCTCATTCTGCATGTACATTGCTTGCAGACCTGGCTTGTAGGTGAAGTTGGTGTTGCTAACACTTGTTAGTTAGCAGCTTGCAAGGGTTGCCTACTTTGTGGAAGCTACATGTTCCAGAACTTTTGCTTTTTCTGATTTAGCCTAATGGATTGTGGGAGAATCGTAGGGAAAAAAGTTGGGAAGTAAATAAGAAGTATGTTTACATCAGAATTGCTTAATTAGCATAGCTGTACCAGCAGAGTGCTTCAGGCAAGACCTGGTTCTAGGGAAGATAGAAGTCTTTGGAGCAGAACCTATTTCATCTGGAAGCTGCCAAATCACAGTACTCCTGAAAACTGCACTCTAGCCCTTTAGCAAAGACAGGAATGTTAAGTGTTGTCACACTCTGGCTACCTTGATCTCCTAGCAATGGACAAAATATAAGCAATTTTTGACCAACTTTGTAAGAAGCTGTGTGATATAAGCAGAAACAGAGGACTTCTAAACGTACAAATGTTTCATGTTGGATCACTGTCTGTGTGTTTTAGTTTTGTAAGGTATTTAATTTGTCCATCAAGCGGGCTATTTGATGGAAACCAACTCCATTTATATACAGTATAGTAAATGGAGAGAATGGGCCTGGCAATTACCTGTGGTTCTGAGGGTGATCCTATTACAGCCTGTTCTGTCGAGACTGACACCTATAGGAGCAAGCAAACTGACCAATGTAGTAAAGACATATTACTCTGTCTTTCTGTCTCTTCCCTTTACTTTTAAGACTTCTCGGTATTAAAACTATGTATTTCCAGCATTGTTTATGACCTATAATAGTACTCTAGGTCAGCTCTTCCATAGTGAAGCTCTGGGGTATGCATTGATCAAAAGTTGGTGTTTTGAGCTTTGTAGAGTAGGGAGGGAGTTTGTAAGAAGATACAAGGTAGGATTACAGGATTACAGGAATACAGGGTTCTGTTGATGTACTACTAAAGAAATCAGTTTTGTGCTCTTTTTCATCTCCATGCAAGAACGGCAGCTCCTAGTTTCTGAGTAGCTTGGAATCCTGTCCTTTGGAAATTGTTGATACTTTTTTTTTATTGCCGTGTCAGTGTTGCCATGTGCCAATTTCCTAATCTACTATGCAGGACAAAATGAGTGGGAACTACTTAAGAGTTCTAGTATTTTGCTTTCTAACAGTAGTTGGGGAGGCTGCTGCTGTTTGAAAATTTTGTCAGTCTCCACTGAAAGCAGCTGGGCCTCAGGAAATTAAAATTTTTCCTGTGTATTTGCACAAGTCTCAGACTGCAAAAGAAATACCCATCTCCAGGCCCCAGAAAACCTTGTTCAAATACAATTCTGCATGTAAATCAGCTACAAATCCTCTTCCAGTTAAAACAGTCATCAAGCTATCATGTAGGATACAGGAAAGAAAATAACCTGGAACTTGACTGAGGGAAATTCTGATACATACTTGTTGTATTTCAGTAGATCGTTTGGTACAGAATTCCTGTCTGTAAAGCTAATGCTAAGAAACACACTGCTGCCATAGGGGTGAGAAAGTTCAGCTTTCTCCATCAGGGTAAATGAAAGACCAGGGCCATGTGTCTGAAAGGCAGGTTTGTCAGACACAAGGCTGGGAGAGCTGCTGCATGTCTGGGTTGTGAATTAAGTTGCAGCAGATAGTAAGGTGCTCTGAAAAGGTGCGTTTGAAGGTCTATGGAAGTAGATGGAAAGAGTTGAGGGACCGCTTCCAAGAATTTTTTTGACTCGCTGAACCCACGTTGTGACTGCTCATTTATTTTTGAAGTATCAAGTGGATTCCTTGGAGTTTCCTTTTATTTCTGGTGGGTTTTGTTGTTTTGTTTTTTTTTTCTAATCCAGTTGTAGGGATACTTAATTTGCTGTAATTCTCAGAGTTTGCATATCCCTATCAGGAATATTGTTCACATTGTGATGTCTAATTTGACTTTTAATAGTAGTCTGGTTGTGTTTATTGTGTTTTGTTGTGTCTGAGAATTTGAAGATGAGGTCTTTATTCTACAGATAAATACAAATGAGAAGTCAAAAGCATCACATTGTGGGTGCCTGCAGCCTTGGCTACAGTTACTTTTTGGAGATGAATGATTTACTGGGCTTTGGGCCCCAGAAGGAAGTGAAGGAATAGGAAAGCCTTCACGCTAGAGATTTTAAGCCTGTAAAGAGCTGTTAACATCTACAAAAAATGGTTTGAAGTTGTGCTCAACTGTTTGGTTTGTAGCGTATGCTCGCAATTCTCAGTGACACATTTCTGCCCTGTGTTCTTTTTTTAAAGTATGCAAGACTTCTGCAGTCCATACTGCACCAAAATGACAAAATCTTTGTCAGCTGGTAAAGACCAAGAGAACTCTCCTGTGCTCTCAGTGGCTAGATTGTTCCTCTCGGGCACTGAGGCAGTAAATAGCTCTTACCTGATACATTGAATTAGGCAAAGTTCCAGTAGGGAGGGTGATGACCTTTTTGCAGATGCAGAAAAGGTAAACATGGCTTAACTGTGATCCTCCTCTACAATATATTTTAAGACTATCAAATACTGCTGAGGTGGCAAAACTCTCATTGTGTCAAAACAGTTACTGATAATTTGTATAAATAGAGTAAATTGAGTAAGTTTAGGCAGAAAAGAAGATCCGGTGTCCCCATTTGTGTATTTGGACTACTTCTGTCAACAAATATAATTATTAGCAACTGTATTGGAGCATAATAATGTATTAAGGTGACTAAAGCTGAGATAGGAGGAAACATTTGGTAGTGGTAAATAGAAACAGTGGTGCCTGGAAGCACAGCAGAAGCTTTCTCCTGGTTAGTCAGGTCACTGAGATTTTTTTAAAGGCTTTGCCCGTCTCTTGCTTTTTTAATCACAACTAAAATCTCATTAGAAGTGGTTATAATCCATGATTATTTAGGGGGTTATTAGGGCTGCACAAGTTCGGTGTTGAACTTCTTAGCAATGTAAAGGACGTTCTGTTTTTCTGGCTGTTAGTTTTTCCAAGTGCACGAAAACAAGTCACAACACAGAATTTTCTCAGGGTTTGGGTTTTTTGGGGTTTTTTGGGTGGACTAGTAAGTTGACTTGGATGCTGTATGTATAAGACCTTTTAAAATACAGGTAGTTGAAGCATTTAGGAAAAACAGGTTAAAACTGAAACTGCTAAAATGTCCTGTGTATGTATCTCCTTGAATTGTCTGTTGTATCTGTTTATGCATCTGACTTTCTCAAGGGTCTTGCTTTGTTTCTAGTGTGCATGGTCTGCTGCAAAGTCTATTGTGAAGACTGGGTAGCTGATCCTCATCTGGAGGCTCTCTAAAGGCTGTGCTGCTCTAGATTATTACTGTGAAAGAAGAAATGGAGATGCCAGGAAACAGCACAAAAAGGCAAACTCCCGTAAAATCCTTCAGGACTCTGGGACTAAACTTAACAATCCATCTGTGGTGCTACCATCTTGGTATTTTTCCTGCAAAATTTCTTCAGAAACTCCACTCTTTTCAAGGCCACGTGATTGGGTTAGGATCAGGATTTTGGGGGTACTCGGCTAGCAGAGGGTTTTCTTTAAGTTGTGCCTGCTTTTGTGCTGTAAAAGCTTTTTTACAGAGGGTAAAATTTATTTGCTGATGTCACAAAGAATTCTGCTAAGGCTGGAACATTCAAAGAAGATGGGTTTTAAATTTGGCTTCCCTTCTTTCTCATCTCGACAGCATTTGAAATTACTTTGTTTTTCCTTCCAAATAACAAATGATCCTTGTGAGTGTGTAATTAACTACACCTTCCCATCCCCTCCTTTTATGGAGTTTCTCTTCCAGTAGCGCGACCCTGCCAGGAACAATGCTAGATCGTGGTGCTGTTCTCATCATCAGGTGGTAGGCTGTTTTTGGTGTTCCTCCTCTGCAGTGCCAACGCTATGTCCAGTTCTCTCAGCTGCTTCAAGAAGCCCCGGTTTGGCAAGATGCATCGGTGTCTTGATACTTGTTCAATGGCATCCACCACTGTCATGTTCTTGTAAATCATCAGGTAAGCCAAGACCAATGTGGCTGACCGGCTGCGACCCATAGCACAGTGAACCAGAACCTTGTCTGCGGAAACAGAGAGAGATGTTTCAGAGATGACACTGGGTAATATCTTTTTCAACAGTGAAGATTTCTGTAGTGCTCCTGCTCTGTTTGGTGGTTTGGCTACCCTTACTAGCACTTTTGTAAGGCCCATCTTTTAACAGGTGGGGAAACCGAGGCTGTAAATTTTACGGTAGTAACTGAACACCAGCTACATTGGAGATTACCCATTTAATCCCAAACCAGGTATCTCTGAATTTATTTGTGAACAAAGGTTGCAGAGAAGGTCCGGGTCCTGCAGTCTTGCATTAAGTAACATAGCAAGCCCTGCTGCACCCTAATCTTGCATGCCTCACAAGCAGCGTGTATGCAATTCTGTGTTTGGGCATAATGACCAAAGCACAAGGGTGTGGGAGGGGTTTGAGGTCCTATCAAACCATCCTTTCTTGAGGATAAATGGGATGCATGGAGGTGCCTTTCACAGTTCTACCAGCTAAACACAAAAGCTAACTGAATTTGATTATTTTTTGTTGTTCTGACAATAATGTCCTTCATGATCTAGATTGTATAACTTTATGCCCAAATACTTCATTTGTAAAATATAGCTAACAAGGCTTTTTTAAGGCTCAGTGATGTTTTTGAGGGCAGAGGATAAGAAGGGCCATAGAAGTTAATAGGCATATAACCAGGGGGATGAAAAGAAACTATCTCTTAAACTGTAGAAAAGCTTTTTTAGAAATCTCTGGCTAGTGACCCTTACCCTGTCGTGATGAATGAAAGTAACATTTCTTCACCACCGCCATCCCTCTGTTTTATGTGATCATCTCCTTGCAGTAGTGGCCTGTCTTGTATACTGTGAATGCAGAGTCTCTGCTAACAGTTTTCATCTCTGAGTAAATGTACCTCAGGATTTAGCTTTGTGACATTGCTTGGTTTAACTTTGGACTTCCAGAGGCAGAAAGTCCCTGGCTTCAGGTACTAGCAAGGATGTAAGCCAAAGTGGAACCTCCCCCATTTGCTGTGTTTGGGGGACGTGGAGGAAGAGAACAGTAAGTGGGTTCAGGTCTGATTGACAGGTTTTGAAACACTTGAAAAGATTTGCAAAAATGATTCAAAGCCCTTGAGGGGGTCTCACAAAGGATTGAGCTGCTGAAGGAGGTAGATTTGGAACACTCTTAACACCCTACAAAGCTGAATTGCCATGGCGGGGGGAAATCCTATCGGCAACAATAATAGTTTATCTCTGTTAGCTATGCCTAGTGAGAAGTGTTGGGTGCAAAGCCATGACTCCTGCCGATTAACTCCTTTGCTTCCAGCCACAAGAGAATGTCTTGGCACAAGTAGCATTGCTGTGTAATGGATGCATCAAGAACTGCCAACACTAGAAGATTAATGGTTACAGTCTGCATCCTAATCCCAGCAGATAGTCTTAGAGGCATCTTGGCAAAATTCCAGTCTCTCTGATAACTAAAAGTGCCTCTTCCTCTCTTGGAAAATGATAATCCCTTCTATTATTGCTGCAAATATTTGAAACGGATGAAAACTCTCATTTGTTCAGCCCTTCATGCTTCTCTGTAGAGCTTCCCACCTTGCAAATGGGTTGCTGTTGAGGTGATAAAATACATGATAGGACAAGGAAGGCTTTGCTTTGTGTGGGTGGCAAATGCAGGGGATCTAGGAGAAAATGTACAGTTTTATATTGTGTTAACAGGCAAAAAATGGCTGTACAATTTTCTGAAATGCCTCCTGGTTGTAGGAAAATGAAGTCTGTCCTTTCCTGTGTGTGAATAGTCAAGATCTGACTGTTACAGGGGGGCAGGGCCATGTCCGTTCTGTACTATTTTGTAGTCTCTTCAGTTCTGATGTAAGGACCAATCTGAATTCTCTTTCCCCAAGAGGGAGTCCGCTCTTGCAGTCTTTGATTCTGACCACTTATATCCTTAAAGGTGTGGTTGAATAGAAAATATTAGTGCACAGAGCCGAAGATCTGCTGAGTGGTGGCAGGTTCCCGAACTGTTTCGGTCACTTGACTTGGGCTTGTGTTTCTTGAAAATCTGTGTAGATGCAACACTCCCTTTCCAGAGTCAGATGGAGTGATGAACGTTGAGGTGTCTTTGGTCAAGTGCCTTGGGTGTTTGTATCTGTCTCATATGTTTCTTCTGACATTGCTTTTATCATCTCAGTCTTTAGTGTATTTTTTCCCATGACATCTTCACATGAAAAGAAAATGCTATTCCCCTCTACTTTACATTCTGAGGAACTAAGACACCAAAGGGAATGAGTACTAAATCTGTAGCGTAGAAGGGAACTTAAAAACCTCTTAAAATAATGTCTTCCTTTCAGGTTAATCAGGCCTTGCTGGTATAAATTTTAAGCTGTCCTATCATCTGAATTGCATGCTTTGGGAAATCTTTATGCACAGCTGAATGATAGCATGCATAATTGTGAACAGTTCGAGGTTGCCGCTAAAACTTACTCTTGTAACTGAGCTACTTTCACTGTTAAGTCCATCTGCCCATGCTTAAAGTCTGCAAATACTGCTCTGATCAGGGAGCTTCTTCACTGTCACAAAGATTTTGAAGGTTAAGTCAGAATTACTGCATTAGGACTGTGTTTTGACAGCATTCAAATTGCCAAGCGTTCTGGCCTGTTGCAGTGAGACTTCATTTGCCTGACAACTTGTTTCAACAATAATGGCCTATTGAGCAGCTTCCTAGCAAAAAGCATTGTATGAAGACATCTATTCAATGAATTTGATCACTTGGCTAGCTGAAGGTCACGCCCCAAACAATGTGATACAGCCGGAGCAAATTCATTAATTCATACATTCTGGTCACAAACGTCTTTTTTTTCTTTTTCCCCTTTTCCATCTCTTTGCATTAGAATTGAGCAAATGCAAAGCAGCAAATGAGTGTAATGGAGTTAATGTTAAGTATTTAGCAACATATACCAAAGTCCCATGTTATTACCACCGGAGATAGGTACTTGGTTACTTACTATAAAATCCTGTTTAGGAATGTGGATGCTGTTTGTCAGTCAGGAAGATGTATGCAAGTAGCCCTTTCATTAGGCATTTGAAATACATAGTGCCTTTCTACACTAGATGTGCATTCACAAATAAGGCATTTATTTTTTTGGAGGAGAGCACTAGTTACTTGCCCCTAGTCTTTTCTCCTGTAAGCCTAAGAGACATCAGTCTGCTCTTTAGCTTCTGGAGCCATTCTGTTGTTCTATAAATGTGTATTGAAAACCTATTGTCATGCATTCAACCTCAGTCATGGTTGGGTCACGCATATGTGCCTTTAATGCATATCTTTGGCTGGGATAGGAGATGCATATTTAGTGTACTTTTTCCTCATGAGAAAGTTAAGAGTTTGCTCTTTTTCTTCATGAGTGTTACAGTAATTCTTTGTTTTACTGGTCTCCATCAGAAAAGATCCTAGCTATATTGTTTAAAAACCATGTGAATGTGGCAGGCAGTGCACAGCTACAGAAATGATTGCAGTTGGTAGTATCTGCTTAAGTGTAGATTTTTTCTGTTTGTTTTCATAGAATCATAGAATCGTTTAGGTTGGAGAAGACCTTCAAGATCATCATTCTTGGAAATCCTATGAATATGTATGACTTTATAGTAGATAATCTTTGGCAGTTTGCCAAATCCTTGGAGCACTCATGGTGGAATGATCCCCAGTGCTGCCCAGCGCTGTAATAAGGAATGCCTGCTTAATAGTAACTTTGTTGCTATTGGATTTTATTTTGGGAACTTTCTGAATACTCCATTTCCTCTACGGAGAGGTTCAGACTTTGAGGAATAGTATCCGCCAATTTTTGCATCAGTTTTAAGTCCAAACATTAACCTAGCACTGCCAAGTCCACCACTAAACCATGTCCCTAAGCACCACATCTACATGTCTTTTAAATACCTCCAGGGTTGGGGACTCAACCACTTCCCTGGGCAGCCTGTTCCAATGCTTGACAACCCTTTTGGTGAAGAAATTTTTCATAATATCCAATCTAAGCCTCCCCTGGCACAACTTGAGGCCATTTCCTCTTGTCCTATCACTTGTTACTTGGGAGAAGAGACTGACAGCCACCTTGCTACAATCTCCTTTTCAGGTAGTAGAGAAGTAGAAGTTTTTGTAGAAGTTCATCCAGTCACTCTTTGATTTGGGCTTGTGTTTCAGTGCTGGACTAGTGCTTGATACTGTTTCAGAACTTCCTGGACTTGTGGTTTTGAAACAAAAAGGTTGATACTGCCCGCCTCCCATCTGTCCCTGCCTCAGTATTTATTGGGATGCAAGTTATTTTCTAGCCTTTGCTGCTTCTCTTGTGCTTGTTTTTTTTTTTACGTCCGTACAGCAGACAAAGGTGTTAGAGAAACAGGAGGGTGATGGGAGTGAGGAAGTCTGCATTTCTAATTAGAGCTACTCCAGTCTGATACTGACCTTTGGCCTCCAGCCATGGCTAGACACAGGTGCCTGTCTTTCCAAACGCAGTGTTTCAGACATACTTTTGAAATGCCAGGTACTTTTCTTCACAAGCAAGGAAGCTCTTGAAGCAGTTTTTCCTGCTATGAGGACTTTGATTTTTAAAACTGAACTGCTTTCAAGACTTTCTCCTGAACAAGGGAAGGGACTGTTGCTTTAGACTGTACTTGCTGAAAGGGTAAAATTATAAAGACCTGGCTGGCTATTGGGGGCAAGCCAGGTAGTAGCTGGCTGCAGCCGAGCTAAACAGCCAAGAAGCTGACACGAGGCTGGAAACTTGGTATGTGACCCTCTAATATTAAGGTCTTTGTAGGTCAGCAGGAGAGTCTTACGTTTCTCAGCTGGTTTCTGGTGAAATATCCTGTGGAGATTTAAAAAAAAAAAAAAAGAGAAAAACAAAACAACAAAAAAAACCATGTGGAGGGAAGGAATAATACTGAAAGCCTGTGTGAGGCCTAGGCTGTACCACTTCACATCAATAGAAAGCTTTCTGATAGACCACTGCTGGAGGTCAGCAAATAATGAATTGTAGTAATCAAGCTGAGAAATTGCAAAGGCTTTAATGAAACATTTGTAGATCTCTGCTGTCAAGAGTTGTTTCGGTCCCCTGCTGCTTGGAAGACGGCAGAGAGAAAAATCTCTTATAGCTTGGGGTAGATCTGATGGCCAGGTAGGAAGGTGGTTTTCGTATTTGTAGAGTGAATCTAAAGAATCAGAGCATGAAGCTGTGGAGTGACAGCCTAGAATCTGTGCAGACCATTCGTGTTCCACTCCCACTGCTATGCAACCTATATTCATTAAACATTTCTTAATAGGGACTAATTTGAGGAAAAGATGGCTAATTCATGGAATCTGTGCAATGTCTGAATGTCTCTGTGTTTATGAAGGAGTCAAAACAACAACAAAAAACCTGTATCAGACAGGAGACCTTAACACAAGCTGTGATGTGGACTTTGATAAAAGCACTTGGTAAGGGGCTCTTGGGCTGGTAGTAGATCTGCAGTGAGAAAGGTCCTAGTTACATCACTACCTTCTAAACTAGCTCCCTGCTGCTAGTTCTGTATTCACTGTTAAACTGTATTGGACTTGTTCCATTCCCATAAGGCTGAATGCCATGGAACTATGCTTATAATCAGATGGAGTAAATACTATACTGCTTTTAACCATTTTCAGTATCCTCCTTACTTCTTTCATCCTGAAGCGCATTATCAATGAATTTAGAAGCTGAATAAAAGAACTGGCTGAGCTTGAAAGTGGGGAGATCATCTGCTTCCACTCCATGGTATTCCACAGTCATGTCATGATAATATTCTGGTCCTGTGTCCACGTTCCGCTGACCATGGGCTGCATTGAGGATGTGGGTGAAGCCTGCCTTCTCAAGGCTGTAGCGATCTAACGCAGTTTTCCTGTTAAAACAAGAGCTGTCATGTAAGTGAAGAAGTTTCTTATCCAGCAAGCTAGAAAGAAAAAAAATCTCTGATTTGGTATGTTCTGAATGTTAATGAAACTGATAATGCTTCAAAAATGCATCATTTACCATTGTAAAGATCTTAAGATACTGTCATTCAGAGTGAATGATCTTTCTGGATTTCATAACTATTTCTCCCAGGTCCTTAGAGCATCTTAAAAATTAATTTATTTTCCTGGCATCTTTGTAATGTATGCAATACTGGCTTCTATCCATCTTGTACAAGAAGAAGCTTGAGATACAGAAAGAAAGAGAGTGACTTATTTAAAATCATAAAAGCACATCAGTGGCAGAACTTGAAATAGGACCCATGAATGCTGCTTTCCTCTTCTGTCCCATCAATTGATATTGCAGAACTAATAAGAATCAGTGATATTTGAGTAGTAAGATCTGGGAGATCATCTGGGATTCAAAAAGCTCTTCATCCCTAAATGAAGTTACTGAGTTTTCTCTCCATTTCTATTTTAAAAAATAAAAATATTTTTTAAAAAATTACCTTTCTGTGGTCACAACTACCTATCAGGTTTCCTTTTACTGTCATGTTTGGTTAAACCAGAGGTCTAAAGCAAAAAGATACAGAAATTGGATATTAGCCTTCAGTGAAAGCTGAAAGTTGTACCTTTAGCCCAATATTCCAATTTATTCTTGTTCTCTCTTCCCTTGGACAAGGGAAGTCAGATAGGAGAGGAAATCCTAGATTTTTGTGTGCCCAACACCTACTCTTTTAAGTGCTTGCTAGCAGCGTGAGATTCCTCAAAAAGTGCAGAGTTTGTGGACAGGCATGTAAAAACTTCTTTGTTCCATTACAGGAAGTTTTTAATTTTGGAAAGTTTTGTTCTGGAAAAGCTGTTGAGTTTCATTAGTGCCTAGGAAGACTACTGAGCTTTTTGTAAAAAATTGCATAGGCTTTATTCTGTTAATATATTTTCACCTAACTACTGCTGCCATAAATGAATTAGTGCATGATGTGAAATAGCTTTTTCCAACCAAAAGTACGTCTCTTCATGAATGTTTCCTGAACAGTTCAATGTGTAAATGCAGCTGCTGCCACACAGGACATTGTGGTGGGCTACCTGTTGTGTTTCATAATTCTAGTGGTGACAGCTCAGAATGGCTTGAAGTTGACTCCACTTTCCCAGCCTCTGTCAAAGTCAAAATCCCCCTTTTGAGCAGTCAAGAACCAAGTGATTAGAGCATTTAACTGGGATATGGATACTGAAGGTCTTACCTATGCTCTTTCTGATTTAAATTAAGCTTATGATAATTGGCTGTTCTGAGTAGACCTTTCTCCCTGCAGAAATTCCTTTCTGGTCAGGAATGATAATGTCTTGACTCTACTGGCATATTTGCAATGAAATAATGTCATAAGTCCCCTATGCGATGATTTAAAAAATAAGTAAAAACTCTAGTTAGTGTGGTGATGCCTGCCTCAGTTCAGTAGACTCTGGAGGACAGAGAAGCAGCAGCGTGTTGCTGCTAGTGCTGTGACTTGCCACCTTCACCTCAGGTTAAATAATGCTCACTCCTTCCCTTTGTATTCTTGTTGCAGTGATTGAACTAGAAAGATGTTTCTTTTCCTCCCTCTTTTTAGAAGACTCAAGACTTGGGTTTTCTCTTCAGGTGGATATGCTCTATACACTGCCAGCAAAGGCACTTCAGTTCTGGACTATAAGGATGACAAGTACTTAAAAAACAGATTAAATGTCCTGGCCGAAGAGTAAAGGTGCAGTGAATAACTACTACTCTTGGTTTTGATGTGCTTGAGGTGAACTACAGATTCTGCTTTCAAATTAAATCTTACTCTGTTTTGCCTCCCTGATGCTGGGATAGAGAAAATACGTTTTCCATTCACCAGACTTGGCCCAAAGTATGTATCCAACAAACCATGAAAGACTGATGGTTTCGGGTCAGAGATTTGTGCTCAACTAGAACCGCTGCAAGCGGAGACCTACATACTGAATAGCAAGTAGGATGCCAGTGAAGTTAGGGTCAGTGGAAAAACAAAGGTTTTGATGCACTGTGGATACTACCAAACTTTGTTTTCTGCAAGCACTCTGCAAGCTCAGGCTAATAAATAGCATTTGAATTAAATGATGAAGTTGTTCCGAGCAAGGACAATGTCAAACAATAGGTTGCATGACAATTATAAACATTTGACACATTCATCTGAAAGCCAATTTTCCTGTTTCCTTGATTAGGTTCTCAGCAGATTGCCTTTTGACACGGTGGGTGCATCTAATGCATTTGTTTCTGATGGTCGCACTTACAGTCTTGTTCTGTGTTTTAGGATGTCATTTTTAAGTGTTCAGTGGCCCCAGTGTTTCAATAGGTATTCAGAAAGAAAGGATACTGTCTTTCACTAAATGCATAAGCAGTCAGCTCAGCCTGGCCAAGCTCCTGGGAGCTTCCCCATCCACCTCCCAGTCTTGCCTGTAGCTGCATACTGTGGATGTATGGCCTGGGATGGAATTAATCCTGCTTTTTGTTTAATCAATTAAAGGCAAGGCAGTTAGGTGTTCATTTAGCATCACAATTTGCATTGGCATTGCCTGGCCCTTGGCCTGTTGGAGTTTCGGAAAATGCATGTTATTACTCTGTTAGCTCGCTCAGTTTCCTGTGGCTAGGGCTGGAAAGGGAGTAAGAAGCAGCAATGGATCAACCTTGAATGCTATTGCAAAAAGCCCATTGTAAATGTTCAGATGTAACTAAATCATCTTCTGTGAAATCTCTTATTTTTAAAGTAAATTATAAGTGTACCAGGAAAATACTTACAGGGTTATCTACTCCACTGTTTTTGGCACTGAAGAATTTGTACTGTTTTCCTCAATGCTTGGAATAGGCTGATTTTAAAATGTTACCTGCTTTTTAATTACGCTTGATATGTAAACTGATTCAGCAATATCCTTTTGGATGGAATGTAACCTTGCCCAATATAATATTTTTCTTTATAATATGGATGCATACTTTCTTCTTTATATTAGCATTGCTAATCTAGAAACTTCCAGAAAATGAATGCTCAGTGTTGAGCACTCAAATCTGTTAAGATCTCCACATTTTCATCAGAACATATACTCAAACTGTGCTGTGTGTGGGTGTTGTAGAACCTGTTAGTTGAACCAAGACCTAAAACACTTGCCCTGGCTAAATGAAGCATGGTCAGTGTAGGTCCAGTGGGTATGTGGCTTGTGCATCTGCAGGATGAGCTATTGCATGTGATCGGTAAAGAGGAAGTTGCGTATCTTTCCTTCCAGCAGATACCCTGGACAATATTATTTATGGAAAGCTTTTCCTAAGGTTTCTAATACATAATGTTTTGTAGAGGTCTGAAGAAACAGTCGTTGTGCAACACAAAATAGGGTTCACTGGACTGCAAGAGGTGCCTGCCTTGGACTTTAGAATCTGCATCTTTTGAGGAAAGCTGAAGTGACACTCTCTTTCAAGAGCAAGAGCGCTTGGTTTCAAATTTGATATGGAGATTAGGAAGTACTTACGCTCTTTCTCCTTTCTCTCCATCCCCCCAGTCTTGCACTTGATAATTATGTTTTTATAAATCTCTACTGTTCTCCAAAAAATGTTCCTCTCTTTCTTGTAAAACCTTTCCCCAAAAGCTAGGCAGACAGCCAAGCTGGGCCACCACTTGTCATACTGACCCACATCTGTCTGCTTTTTCACCTCCATCAGCTGTCTTTTTACCTTGCCTACTGATCATAAATACTATTGGGCAGGGATGGCCTGTGCTGAGACTCTGACACTGCCATGATGTAGGCAGTTAAACTTGAGGTCATGCTGGGTCTGCAGCACATTGATTGCCAGTTAACAGAGAGCAAGAAACGGGCTGTTAAGCCCTCATATAGTGGGACCCGTATGCTTGTAAATGGAAATGTTACTGTGCCCCTTGACATGTTTGCTTGGACTGGCTTTAGTCATCAGTGAACTCTGGGTTTATATGTAGGACTGGCTTGCTTTCCAGCCTCAACTGAATCTGTAGTGTAGATGCTGTTGTGGAAGCATCCCTCATTATCTGTTTACTTTAATCAGAGCCTAATTTTGTGTGTGTGTGTGTTTCATCATGCATGATACTCCTGGTTAAATCCCAAGGGAGAATGCTTTTGGTCTTCCTTGCAGTTTTTACCATGCCTGAGGTACCAGTATTTTAGATTAAAGGATATAATAAATCAAGCATAAATATCTGCAAATATCCGATTGGTTGAGGTGACTAATAGCGTAGGATCATTCAGGGGTATATGAATCATATACCTTATTGGAGGATTTATAACTCTATTTCTAATTCATTTTCAGCTAGAAATGGCACAGATTTTTTTTCCCTTACAGTTGGCTCACTACCAGAGTTTAATAGTCAGGCTAACAATATTCCTCTTTTTCCCTACTATGAAGACAGGCTGAGAGAGTTAGGGTTGTTCAGCCTGGACAAGAGAAGGCTCCGGGGAGACCTTCTAGCAGCCTTCCAGTACCTGTAGGGGGCCTACAAGAAAGCTGGAGAGGACTTGGAGAGGGACTTTTTACAAGGGCATGGAGTGATAGGGCAAGGGGTAATGGCTTTAAACTGCAGAAGGGTAGATTTAGATTAAATACAAGGAAGAAATTCTTCACTCTGAGGGTGGTGAGGCACTGGAACAGGTTGCCCAGCGAAGCTGTGGATGCCCCATCTCTGGAAGTGTTCAAGGCCAGGTTGGATGGGGCTTTGAGCAACCTGGTCTAGTGGAAGGTGTCCCTGACCATGGCAGGGGGGTTGGAAATGGATGATCTTTAAGGTCCCTTCCAACCCAAACCATTCTATGATTCTGTGATTCTTTGGGTGCTGCTGTTTCCTAATAAATTGAAATTAATATTTCCCTTTTTGTGATTATGGTTGAATTTTAAGTCGCCATTGTAAAGAAGAGTGCTACAAATGCCAGTGTAGGTGAAGCCATAAGCATT